TGACTGCTGCAAGCTTAGAGTCAGACGACCGCAAGCACAGTCTCCGGCAATGCATTGTGGGTAATCTGAGAAGCAGCAGGACTCTATAAGTATAACTATATTATATTTATATTGGACTATTACTATTAGTGAAGTTTTGTTTAACTAATCGTTTATGTTTACTAATATTTGTTCAATTCTATGTGCATTCACATTGTGGGTATCAGATTACGTCATGACGCTACACCACATTGTAGCTTATACTATTATAGTTATACATTCACTTCAGTGCACAGGCACTTGGAACGTCTCAATGAAAAAAAAATGTAAACACGAAATGTATTTACTACCAAAGTCTTAATGTTTCTCTACTCTATTTCGCCTATTATTACCGATAATTACGCGTAAATGCCGGTCAAATGCTCATCTGCAACACACAAGTACACCGCACGCCCGCCCTGTGCACAAGCAACATGAATAAGATAGCCGGTAGGAAAGCGTGATCGCAAAATTCGCTCGACGCTCGCTTCATTTCACACCTTCACAGCACAAACACACAAACAACAGCCTCCATCTTGGTATCTATCTGTAACTAAATGTTCACTTGTTCGAATTATCTCGGTCCTTTGTTCTTACCTACTCCCGCCAGAGGTATCTCGTGAAATCCTGCAGGAAATGTTCTCTCCGTGAAAATATAAAGAGGACGAGATGTCTGTTTATACACGAGTAATGGGGCGCATTGCATTGCATGTTTAGTGTGTTTTCGTTCTGTAGTCGTGTGAAATGAAGCGAGCGTCGAGCGAATTTTGCGATCACGCTTTCCTACTTAATCCGCTTCACTCCTACCGGAGCATAGGGCCTCCACTAGTTTTCTCCAGGGGACTCGGTTTTGTGCTGTCCGCTTGATCTGTTCCCACGTCATGCCGATCTCCTGATGTTCTTCTGCGACTGTTCTCTTCCACGATTTCTTAGGTCGTCCCCTTTTCCTTTTTCCCTGTGGGTTCCACTCTAAGGACTGCCGCGTGGTGTTGGTCCTCGGTTTCCTTAGGGTGTGTCCAATCCACCGCCATTTCCTTCGTCTGATAGTAACTTCGATCTTCTCCTGTTCCGTGCGTTGCCATAGATCGACGTTCGCTATTCTGCTTGGCCAAAATATACTTAGGATGTAGCGAAGCCTGCGATTGACAAATGTTTGAAGTTTCTTAATTATATTTGTGATCAGCCGCCACGTTTCTGCACCGTACAGCAGGACAGACTTCACATTTGAGTTGAAGATTCTCAGCTTCGTCCATAAGGAAATGTACCGGGATCTCCAAACAGGTCTTAGCATGTAAAAAACAGCTTGCGCTTTTCTACACCTTGCCTCCACATCTTCCTCTGAACCTCCGGTAGTGGTGACGATACTACCTAGATAGGTGAAGGTTGTAACTCGTTCTAATGCTTGGCCCTTGCACATGATATCTCCTGTATTGCTAAGGGCACCAATCCTCATCTCTTTGGTCTTGATCTTGTTTACTTTCAGCCCAACTTTAGAAGCTTCATCCTGCAGCGACTCGAACTTCTGTCGTGCATGGACAATCTTCTGACTGAGCAAGACTAGGTCATCGGCAAACTCTAGATCTTCGAGCTTCTTTAACAAAGTGAACTGTATTCCGGTCTCGTTTCCACCATACGCTTGCCTAGTTATCCAGTCAAGTGCCACTAGGAAGAGAAGGGGGCTGAGTAGACATCCTTGTCGTACCCCGGTCTTCATTTCAAACGGCTCGGTCATCCTCCCTTCATGTAGCACCTTGGCCTGAAAGCCGTCATATTATAGAACCTGGACCATCCTCACGATCTCGGGTGGGATACCATAATGCCTCAAAATCTTCCAGAGCATTTCGCGGTCGGTGGAATCGAAGGCTTTTTCGAAGTCCACAAATACTATGTATAATCCAGTGTTCCATTCAAGGGTCTGTTCTATGATTATCCTTATTGTTGTTATTTGGTCGCAACATGAGCGGCCCCTGCGGAACCCTGCTTGTTCGTCTCGGAGTCTTCCTTCAACGGGGTCTTGCATTCTCGTCAAAATGATCCTGCTGAATACTTTGCTGGCTATTGGCAGCAGCATGATGCCTCTCGAGTTGGCGCAATCTTGAGGTCTCCTTTCTTCGGTAACTTTACCAAGAGTCCCAGCTTCCAGTCCATAGGGATATCATCTGCATTCCAGATCTTATTTAACAGGGTGTAGAGAACTTCTCCTGAAATCCAGCCTCCTTCTTTCCAAGCTTCTGCAGGGATGTTGTCGGATCCGGCCGAGACTATACGCACGGCGGCCGTGTGGATAAGATTCAATAATATTATGGCTATACGCACGGCGGCCGTGTGGCGGACTCAATATGGCTATACGCACGGCGGCCGTGTGGATAAGATTCAATATGGATA